AGTAATATCACATGGCTAGTAATATCACAACCAACGGAGGAAAGATTGAAGTTGTCAAGGTTTTTGTTTTACTTGGACTCACAATCAGTGTCCAAGGAGGCAGCAGTCAGGAAATCCGATGACGTGTTGAACTGGGCAAATCTGCGGCCATAGATCTCTCTGAAGTGTTAACAATCAAAGCTGTTATTTTGAAGACTAAGGTGCACCTGGCCCAAGCCAGGGAATTTCCAATCACCTAATATGTGCTCAAAAGCTAGACCATGGATAAGGAAGGTCACAGAACTGTTGTCCTTGAATTGTGGTGTCACAGAGGAATATTAAATATACCATGGTCTGCCTAAAGAACGAGCAAATCTGTCTTAGAAGAAGTACAGCCAGAATAGTCTCTAGAAGAGAAGAAGGTGAGACCTTGTCTCCTGTACTTTAGACTTGTCCTCAGGAGGGACCGCTCCCGGGGAGGAGGGCCTCTTGCTTGGTAAAGTGGAGATTCAGGGAAAAAGAGACACAGTAGCTGCAACAATGGGCTCAAGCATGGGAATGATTGTGAGGCTTGGACAGGACTGGGCAGTGCTTCGTTCGGTTGTCCCCAGGGTCACTATGCGTCAGCACTGACTGGCCAGCACCTAGCAACAACATAGGCTCGCTGTGATTTGGAATTGACTCCACAGCAATGGGTTTGCATTTGGAAAAGAAAAACGATAAAAACGTAGTAGGTCGCCTGAGATAAAAATCCTAATTGTGCCTTACAGATAAAATTGAATTCAGTAAACATCAGACACGTACTATGACAAGGGGCTCTGCTATATACTGGGGTGCAAAGTCCAGGACAACTGCAGACCTCAAAGAACTTGCTCCCTGGAGGCCTCCCAGAGCAAGCCCTAGACACCAAGTAGGCTTACCCTTCCCTCATTAACCCACAGGCAGGGCCCACAAGGATTAATATCATGAAAAGTGGTGATGTCTGGCCCCGGGGAGTGTCCCTAGATTGTCAGTGCCATGTCTCTGGGTAGGGGGTGGTCTTCCCAGCGGGAGTTCCTCAAGCCCATCAGAGAATGCATCTGCAGAGGGGGTCCCATGCCCTTCTAGGACAGATGCCTTCCTTGGGGAAGGGTGCTTGGGAGCAGTAGCCAGAATGAAGAGGGCTGGGAGACCCCACATAGAGGAAGCTTGGGAATGTCTGGAAGGAGCATATGGGGTGCATCTCAATAATCTAGGGTCTGCCTGAATAAAGAGGACCGGACAGTCAGGGGAAAGGGCTTGGGGAGTGCTTGGGTAAAGGCGCGCTGGGGACTCCTGGAGAAGAGGCTGCAGAGCCTTCAGGAGGAGGGTCTGGGGTGCTTTTCCATGGAGAGACCTGTGGCACCGCTGGATGGATAGGGCTGGAAGAACCCTGGATGGAGGGGCCTGCGGACCTGGGCGCGGGGCCCTGGGGCCCGTGCCCCGCCAACCCCCGCCAACCCCCGCCCTGGGCCCGGGCACCCACCTGGGCACACCCTGGAGTAGTCGAAGCAGCAGTCCCCGGTGAGACGGCAGGCTTGGTCGCAGAAGCACGTCCCGTAGACCCTGTCCAGCCTCCAGCCATGGGCGAAGCAAGCGGGGTCCCTCCCGGGACAGCAGCGGCCCGCCTCGGCGCAGCCGGCCAGGGTCTCGGGCCACAGCCGCGCCAGCGCGCACAGCGCCAGCCACAGGGCGCGCATGGCCAGCGCTCCCCCGCGCCCGCGACGCGACGGCCTCCGGGGAAAGTGCTCGGATCGCTGGCGGTCCCGGAGCTGCCCGAGGGGTCGGAGGCTCAGCC